ATATTTTATAAAAAAAAGATACGGTAAGGATGTTATTTTTTTAAAGTATAATCAATCCTGAATCTCTAAAATTAATATTTATTTTTAGAATCTTTTTTTTCTTTAATTACAAGATAGGACTTTTACTCCAGATGCAACGTCCACCAAAATGCGAAAATGATAAAAAATTTCATTCATATTTTTAATTTCAATACAAGTATGGAAACTAAGTTACATAATGTCCCTTTGATCTAATCTTTTTCTGTGTAGAAATTAAACCTACAAGAGGGATGGGTATCATCGGCTAAATTTGTGAAAGCCAGGCAGTTCCACAACCTGAGATCAGTAATTAACAAGCTGCAATGGTGTTGCTGTTGCTGTTGCTGCTGCTGCTGCCGTTGTTGCAGTTGTTCTACAGTACAACTACAACATAACACAGACAAAAAAATAAAATAATTACAGCATGCAGGAGCAAAATGCACCTCTTTGGCTATAGAAATCTGGTGCCCGCATGGCAATGATGTAGAAGATTATGAGCAATAGCATCCCTAGCTTTCATTGAAGTTGCCGATCTCAAAGCAATATCAGGAACCATCTCATCATCAACAAGTTCCACCCTCAGCTCTGGATCCATTTCCTCATTTTGCATCTCACAAATATTATGCAGCACACAGCATGCCCCAAGAACCACTGGCAAGTCCTGCAGTTTCACCTCTGTTCTTTTCTGCAAGCAACTCCACCTCGCTTTCAACCTCGCAAAGGCATCCTTTGCAACCAATTGAATCTCCCCAATCTTCTCATTAAAGGCATGCTGAGTCCATGTCAAATTCTGCTGTGTATAAGGCACCAAAACCCAATCCATTAATGGGTACCCTGAAGTCCCAACAATCCAAACATCCTTCAAGAGGCCTCCATTAGCCCTTTGAAATAAAGCAGACTTCTCCAACACCTGATCATCAGGCATTGAACCAGGCCAGCCAATGCACACATCAGTAAATACCCCTTTTGGATCAACAACACCTTGAACAGTAATTGAATAGGATGTCTTCTGATTCCTCTCTGTATGCCTCTTATTAAAATACGCGGCAACGCTAATCTTTGGAGCTATAATAGGTATATGAGTAGTATACATAGACCCCACAACATTGGGTATCCCAGAAATGGATTCAAATTCATTTTTTATCTTCCTCAAACCATCCTCATCGGGCCACTGCAAATACTTGGGCATTAAAACACTCCTTATAGCAGAACATACTTCAAGAACTAATTTATGGCAAGTAGAAATACCCAAACCAAACCTCTTGGATACAAGTCTAAGTGGTTCACCAGTAGCCAATCTCCAAATACAAACAGCAACTCTTTGCCTAACAGGAATAGCATTACGCAGAGTAGTATCTTCTTTAACTATAACTGAATTTAACTCCTCACAGATCATATCAAAAGTAGACTTACTCATTCGAAAAGCCTTCTTGAATTCTTTCTCTGGATAATCTGGTCTATTACAATCATCCCACCATTCTTTATCTCTATCTTTCACCCATAACCGTCTTTGTTGACCACCGCCACTGTGCTTTGTATCTTTAATTCCTTCCCTGGCAGCCTCGCCATTAGAGACGGCTGAAACAGCCAAAGCACCAGCTATTGCCCTTGAATTCTTGCGCTTTCTTCTTTCTGTTTCTTGAACTTCCACGTGGTAGCCTTGGAATTTGTCGTAGTATTCAACCATTGTTTTGATCTTTTTATTGTGGTTAGCCTCTAATAATACCTTCTCTTCGTTTGAAGCCTTGCTCTGCTCTTCTTGATCGCTCTTTTCTTGTTGTTCTAGCAATATCAATGATGTGATGATACCCTTCAAGTTTTTCTTCTTCTTCTCTCTGCCATCCTGCTCAAAAGAATCGTTGCCATCGCTATCATTTCCTTGCCTGTCCTCTTTTCTTTGCCTTTTCTTGGAGTTGCTGATCATGCTATCGGGTTCATTCATTTGGCGGAGTGAGGATGGAAGAAAGGTGAACATGAGGGGGGAGTTCCGAGCGAGGTTGTTGGTTTGGTAAAGAAGGGAGTTTTCATACATATAAAAAAGGAATAGAGTTGAAACTAAAGACAGAGAAACTGGACAGTCTTCGACTGCTGGCTTTCAAAAAATGTGTGGACAAAGTGTGAACACACTGACAATACTAGGTTTAGATCCCTTTCACTTGCATGATTGAAATTTACATGCCCTGACTGGGCACGACTAGCTGTGTTTAACTGCTAATCATAGCATCCCCCTTTAGATATTTGCAAGGCACCTAATAAACGACTACTGGTTTTCATCCAATGGAGCAAGAATTCTTTCAAATTTAACCACTTTGACCACACATAAAACTATATTAGGGCTTCTCGTTCTTCCTCATTTAATATAGTTTTTCGGGCGTTGAAACCCTTATTTCATTAAAAAAAAAGGATAAAAATAACCAAATGAATCTTAGATTAGGTTATTTATAATACAAACCCACTTTATCTTAGTCTTTAGACCCATATTTTTCTTCCTTTGAAGGGCTACATGATGCTCTCACCAACAAATTATTCAACTTCATAGCAGCACCCATTCATTCCCATTGTTTATTAACGAGTTATTTGTCAAAATAATGATGGTGCTGTGAATAGTAGGAATAAAGCATGCTTGTGAGACGGTAAAACCTCGGTAAAGCCATGAATTGTGCGCCCTAGATCTTTCAAGAGATTATAATATCTAACAAAAAAAAAAACGTGGGCTGGGTGTGGACACGGCTTTGGGAAGGCGCTACACGTTAAGACTTTGTGGCACGCTGGGGGCGGGGGTGGTGCGCCCCTATGACTTCAGGTTTCACACGGTTTCTTGCGGATTCCGGCTACTTTACCAACGCTCTGGAATGGTGCTGATGTGTTTGGTCCTTATCGCTCTGCATTTACAGAGATTTTATATTTATTTTTAAAAAATCTCTAATTTAAGTGCTATAAATTTTAAGATTATTATTGGTCATTAATTTTAAAGTTTTATTAGATTAATTAAGATAAATGTAAATTTATCCGACTATTAAAATTAAAAAAAATTGCATGCCAGACATTTGTTGGTGGTGGACCAATTAAATTTGAATTTGTGTGCAAGCAGCGTGAACTCCGAATGGATGGGGCCTGTCTTTGATCACGGCCAGGGTAGATGAATGACAGGGACATAGGCGAATACAAATTTGTCAAGTACTTTGGTGTATTCTTGACCACGATGTCTAGACGCCATTAAAGCCAAGGTGCTTGTGTAGCCCTGGGAGGGGTCGTCTTCTCTCCCTTGCCATGGTTAAAATACCATATTTGTGGAATAAAACACAGATACCAAAAGCATCGGCAGAAGAAAACATAAAAAGGTAAAGAACTTGGTAGGATCTTGAGTGCTTCACCCGGATGTAAGAAAATGGAGACCACTAGGTTGGTAGATTTCATACCCAGGAGGAAAAGGAAGAAAACCCGTAAAAAATCTATTTTTATTTTATCATGGACACTGCTTCACCAATAGTAAAAACTTATCAAGAAAATTCAAAAAACACTGTGAAAGCCTTCATAACAACACCCAAAAAAAAAAAGTGACATCATATCAAGGAATAAGAAAACAAAACTATACGAAATATTATGAATGATTTAATCACTTAACTTAATTTAATAAAAAAACAAAAATCCTATTTAAAAAACCTAAATTTAACCTAAAAAAATAAATAAAAAGATTCGAGATAACTTGAATCATCACCAAGATTAATAAAAAATCATACAAAAAACAAATAAAAAATAACAAGGTCAAATCTCCCTTTAAATAAATATGGAGAGATGAAACTAAAAAAAGATTAGCTTAAGAATAAAAATAAAAACCAATTTGAATTTTTTAAATCCAAATTAATTTTTCAAACTCACAATTTGTGAAATTCTAGATCCGAACTTAATTAAGATGCTTGATCTCCAATAAATTTAATATTGAAACATGAAATCATAAAGAAATAATCAATTAAAACAAATTGCTAAAGAAAAAAATAACAATTAAAATAATAAAGATTAAATTAGTAGGAAAAAAAAAGTTAAGGAAAATAAAATTACAAAAAAAAAATTAAAAGCATCTTGAATAAAACAAATAACATTTAAAAGAACAAATACTAAATTTGAAAGATAAAAAAAATTTGAAAGGGGTTGAAAGTGAAAAAAATTAATGTTTTATATTATTTTAAATAAAATAAATAATATTTTAGGATCAAATATAAAAAAAAAATAACCAAATGAAAGGCTTCTTTTACATAGAAGGTTAGTATAGAAATCAAGGAGAAAAGAGGAAAAAAAGAAGAAGAAAGGGTTGCACGTGTCAAACTAAAGATCCATTTGAAACATGTACTACACCGGAATGGAAGGGAAACTGGGACAATTTAAACACCGTATTGAAAGCCATGACATACGCCACCTAAAAAGTACAAAAACAACATACAAGCCAATAAGTTTCTTTTTAATAATATTTATATTAAGTTAATTGCCAAAGATCACCTCAACCAACTTATTTATTACAGAAAAAAAATAATGTGAAAAGACACCCAGGCCTTTGAGGCCTTCGGATATAAGTTATAATTTTTTTTGTTTTCTAATATCAAATGAGTTATTTTAAAATGAAATAGATGATAAAGCCCGTAGCTCTAGATTTAGAATTTTTTGCTTATTAAATAATTTCACTGTATCAAAAAATATAAATGACTTTATGATTAATAGAAAAAGATTATTCTATCCAATGCAGGACTTTATGATTTGTGAAAAAAATGACAGAAACACTGAAACACGGATCCAATCTAGTGTTTTGTGTTTTCATCTACCATGAAAGCTTGATATCTTATAGTTTTATTTTTAATTTAATACAAGACAATAAAGAAATCCAAAAATCAAGCATCTAAAAATGGAATGGCTTTGGATCTCTCACGAAGAAGTGAGCTGTAAGAATCATGCTTGGGATGGATGAGACGATGAAATAAAAACAAATAGAATGAGGCTTTGCACAGTCCTATAAGCTACGCGGATTTCATAAACTATTCCAGCCTGTCCATGTGAAGAACTGGAGATAAGTCATCATCCACAAACTTAATAATCAATTTAGTATTCAAGAGTCACGTATGTGTTCGATGCTAATTGCTAATTCTTAACAAAAAAAAAAAAAAAAAACGGTGGCAAAGGCGAAGACCAAGTCAGGATTCTTGAGATTTGAAAATGGGTATAATATTTTCGTGACCATGGAAGCACTAGATAAAACATGCTTGCCCAATTCAACATTACACGCTATTTTTGACCAGACCACTAGCAATGTGCTAACAGTTGGGGGGAGGAACACAGAGGACGGTGCCATTTTTTCTTGCAGTCCAGCTGCCATGTTCTAAACGAGAAAAGTTAACACCAGCTGATCGCCTTTTGCTGCTTTGCCAAAATTACACTAATGTGAATGGCTATATGAAATTGATTTGAGAGACTTCCTAGAGAGTTACCAGGTCCCACTTCCACCAAGATTCTAGTACATGTTTACGTGGCGGTCGCCAGTTTGAATCTGATGGAATGAGCAATATCGGTTTTGGCCGGTCCTCTACAGATGAAAATTAAAACTCGAGGTCAGGTCTAACAAAGCACAAAATGATATGTTGAACAACAACAACAACAACAACATGTGCATTTCGCTATTGAACAAGTCTAAACTAGAAAGACTCTGTATTCCTGTTCCCAGAGGTAAAACAGAAGATGCCTGGTCCAATATCACTCCAACGGCAAACATTTGAAAAGTTCATGGGTTTTATTAGTGGGGTTGGTTCATATCAAAAAACATTGCATCAATTGACCAAATCACTGATTGTTCATACAAGTAATTGTTTTCAAATCCAATCTAATTATCACACATTTAACAGATGTACAACAGTTAGTGCTGTTACCTCTAAGGTGTAAGTTAAAAGAAGAGAGGCGAGAAACAGCAATTAAGAAGACTAATTACCGAAGATTATAGCACGAGGTGGCTTCTTTGAAGCATTGTTTCCAGGTAAAGAAGTTGGCTCATCCAGTGAACCTAGACTTGTGAGAACAAATGTATGTCAACAATGCACCTCCAGTAACCAGCTTCCATAATTTACTGCGACTCTGGTCAGCATCAGTTAATGATCTGTTGTCATCTATAAGCAAAGAAGGGAGGCAAGTTAACCAACCCGTCAATCACATCATGCCCGAGAAATCGACAAGTTTGCATATTTCATAGACGAGTCCAAGCCAGGGGTTTACCAGCCCATTCCCGTTCTCGTCTCTTTTGCTTGGCTCACATCATGTTAAATTTCGCTTTCCCTAGGGTCATGCACAACATAGTCATTTGATCCTCTTTGCGAGACATACCATCCTGTTACAATCACAATAAAGAACTTCCTTATGTGTTGTGAATAAATTGATAAGGTTTTTAGAAAGAAGATCTGTTATAGATCTGTACTTACTAACATGATCATGGTTTTTGCCTTCGAATATAAACCTACATGTTGCATGTGCTAAGGACTTCAAGGTTCTTGTTTACAGAAGATCCAAATATCAACTATTTAATGTTTTTAGGATGATTTGCACTGTTTTGTAACTCAACTAGTAGGTCTAAGAATACATTGACAGGAATTTTTTCATCTTTAATTTCACTCTGGGTATTTTTACCAATTTGAAAACATAAAATAATATCAGGTCATGTGGTTTCCATAACTGTTCAAAGAAATGAATAGAATTCACACTCAAGCTTACCTTGCCACGTTCAGGTGCAAATGTTAGCCGGATAGTGCCCCAGTCAGACAAATCCTCATTATCAGCAACTCCAGATTCGCTGTTTGAGGCATCTGCCTTTGTAGAGAGGGCCTTTCTAAGCTTTTCAAGTTTAGCTTAAACCAAATAAATCAGACGAAAAGGATTAAAATAAGAAAAAAATCTTCCTTTCATGCAATGGCTTCATCAAGTAAAGTTGAAATAACAATAAAATAAATAAAAACCATAATATGAAAAATCAAGTGTCAAAGTCATTCCTTTATTCAATGATTCCATTTTTTGTTATGTTTCCATCAATATGTTGCATGTTAGAGTTTTTGTAGCTAGCATGTAGTTTACTAATTGCTTATTTACAACTTGTATTAAGTGTTTGTATGTATCAGCTGCGCAAGCTTCTTGCATGTATAATTTTGTGTGTCTCTGTGTGTGCTTGTACACTTCGTTGCATTCAAGGTAGCAATTGACTAGTGTTACATGAAGAGAAATCACTTCTGAAATGGCCAATAACCTATACAGCTAGCAAGGCTTTCTCTGCCACCATTTTCTGCTATGCCATTTCAGATGAAAATAAAGAATTCAAAATCTAGACAAAAGAAATCTATTGTTTGGAAACAAAGAAAATAGATATGTTAAGTTGTGAAAATTCATCAAATGAAAATGCACTGTAAAGTGTCATGGTACCATTTTGCTTTAGCTTATGTGGAAGATCACCAAGCTCCTTTCCTTTTTGAATTATTTTCTGGCGCATTTGTGAATCAAAAAGGGCATCATCTTCATCGTCATCATCACTGTTAGAAAACCAGCTGCTGAGTCACTCCTTGGTGCTTCTTTCACAGATAAAGTGCCTTTCTTTGAGCTTAGAGCTTCTTTCACAGATAACTGAATATCCCTCGTCGTTTCACCTTCAGAAGAGTTCTGCATTGATTCAAACACATCACAAATGAAAAAAAATAGACCACTCTCACATGTATAGTGCATCAATTTAACTGCTAACTTGTGAGGATATCATTCTAAAGTAGAACTATTTAGAAACACAACAGTGTTATTACAAATCAATAAGGGTGAGATGAACTAATGGAAAACATAGACCATTCTTACATGTATAGTGCATAAATTTAACTGCTAACTTGCGAGGATATCGTTCAGTAGAACTATAAGAATCACAGCAGTGGTATTACAAAGGAATGGGGGGGGGGGGGGGGGGAACTCAACCTACAAATTTTAAAATGTCTGTAACTTGCAGGAGAGTTTTGCAACTGAAAACTTGGAAAATTTGACACTTGAGGACTAGACAGATCCACCTTAATCCAACAAAAACCAGCCCATAAATAATGGTTCAAAGTCCAAATTATGCAGTATTGCCAACGCACTGCACATTTTTTTAATAAACTTAAACATAACTACGTTTTTTGCAAAAATTGCAGTTTTTAAATATATTTGAACACTAAATCACTGCTACAACACTAAATCAGAGCTGTATCTAAGTGTTCAATAGCTGAATTCCACTAGCATGTGCTTTTTCCCTATGCCCTTTTGTCTAGATTTTTAGTTGTTGTAGTATTTCTTCCCTTTAATCATGGGTCATACTGTAACTTTATTTGATCATAAACAGCATATCAGTAAGTATGGCAAAATTACCAATTCTTTACTTGGATTTTCTTCTTTTAGGAGATGAGGATCATTTAGTACATCATGACTACTCTTGATCTTTTGCTGCCAACTGCTTCTCCTCTTCTTCAGCTTCTCTCCAAAAGAAAGCAGGTTCGGCTTTCTGCATAAAGCAAAGCCTTAACATGGTAACAGGGACAACAATAAATGTCTTCACATTCTCAAATTATGACATTCTGTCAGGTTGGGGAATCTTACTTCACTGCTTTTTTCTTTGAATCTTTATTTTCAGTTTCAGTTTCAGGTTCAATTGAGGACTTGGAAGGTACCTTTGGAATGATATCTTCAAAAGGGTTCCGCAGTACCTAAATAAGAATTTCAATATATATTGTGACCACAGATTATTGAGAGTACGGAGATTCAAAGTTGATACAAAATGGAAAAGTACATTATATTGACATGTCATGTACCAGATGCAGTAAGAACAAGATGAATAGGCACAATATATCATACACCTAAAAGACCATACTACACACATGTTTTTACATAATCATCTATCTCAATTGCCAAAACTTTTGAACCTTTAACAGCTCCAGAAATTGCTATGAATTTATAATAAAAGATACCCATTTCAGAGCACAAACAAGCCTACCTCAACTGATGTTATTCTTGGAGGTGGATCTAATGACCGATCATCATCCTTGGTAGTTTCAACCTCGCCAAGTGACAGAAGAATGAAAACTGAATCTCCAGTAATCTGAAAATGAAAAATATTAGTTCCAAAAAACACTCAAAATAACCCAAAGAATTTCAAATCATAAAAGCAAAACCTACATTTCCTTTCCAGAAATAGTATTCTTTTTATCAAGCCAATCACACCTTTCCAACGTGATAAAAAATTGACTCCCATTTGAATGTGGCCTACCCGCATTTGCACATGCAACTAACTCTCTATAGTGAAATCTCAGACGTGAAGTACTCATCCGCAAACACAGTTCGATATCTACTTTCACCACTAACAAATATCAAGCATCAATTTTCCAATTAACAATATCACAAAAATAAAATCATTTAAAAGACAGTGATTCCTTCTATTATTACAAAAAAAAAAATATATACAAAATTTATCCACTTAAATTGTTAAATGAAGGGACAAGCTTTAACCACAATTTTAATTTCTTTTCCAAAAATTATCCAAAAAAAGTCACCAGCATGTAAATATATCCCAATTTAACCAAATAATTGATAATTACACTTTAGTCGCATTAACAAACACATAAAATCATCAGCCTATACTAAACTGCATGAGACCCTGAAAACCCTAAGACAAACCCTATATTAATAAAAAAAAATTGCAGCTATCAAGTTAAACAGAAGAGAGAAATTACAGAATCACCTACCCGTGTCAGCGCCAGTAGGGTCACCGCCTTGAACAAGAAAGATTTTAATAATACGATGAATGATGGTATTATCATAGTAACCTTCGAGGCAGAGTTGAACGAAGTTTCTAACAGCTTTTGGTGCTTCTTTAGGCCAGAGCTCGAAGTCTAAAGGACGGTAGGTTGTGTTTAGTATTACTTCGCCTTTTGTCGGTGGCTCCGACACGTAAATTGATGGTATTATTCTGTGCTAGCCAGGATCAGGGGCAGTGAGTGTGGGTGAGGTTTAGGAGTTTTTGATGAGCGATAGGTGTTTGTGTTTTTGCCTCCGTGACTTGGTTCCCTTCGAGAGTGTAATAATTTTGAGCCGGCATCAAAGTCCTGTTTCAAAAGAAGAGAATAAAAAACGTTTACGGAGAAATTTGTCGGCTTGAATATGCTCTTTGGATTAATTTAGTATCCCTACTGTTAAATCTGATGAATTAAGTCCCTCTACAGTTATTCTTATTTACAATCAGACCCCTTCAACCAAGGGCCAGTTTTAAAAAATCAAGTTTGAACAGTTATTTTTTAAAAGAATTATTTTACTGCAAAATATATTTAAATAATATTTTTTATTCTTTAAATTATTTTTAACATACATTTAAAAATATAAAAAAATTGAATTTTTTTATTATAGTTTGGTAAATTAATCAAGAGTATCCTTGTCCACTGTGAAGTCAATTGTTCTTGAATTTTGACTTTTACATAGAAAGAATAATAATTGTCCAAAATAAACTCTGCTAATATTTAATTTATTTACAGATAGAAATTTTCTTTCCATTTTTTTTATTACAGGAATTTCTTTTACTTTATTTTAAAATGTCAAAAATAAAAAAATGAATAAAAAATTTAAAAAATTGTATAATCACGAGATTTTGTGTTTTATGAATATATTATGGATGGATATTCATTTATTTTTTAAAATGTGATTTTAAGTGGGTCTAGAGAGAGAGAGAAATCCAGATCGGGTTGGGGTAACCAGCCTTGACCTGTCCGGGTTGGAGATAGGGCCGGCTGGTGTATATGGATATTCCGGGTCGAGGACAGGTGGAGCAAAATCCGCTCTGACCCTACCCATTGCCATCATCCCTAGCACTCAGCAATTTGGTGGCTTTTTGCAGCTAAGGATGGGAGGCCGAGGAGTTATTGGTGAAAAATGGTCCTCAAGGATTCTTTGGGCTTATGCTAGCTATAGGAAGAGCAATCAGTGTATTTTCTTGATCCAACTCCTGATTTATTGCTAGGTTTTTTTTTTTTACTGGCTCGAATGGTTGCATCGCAAGCTTTGTTTTTCCTCGAGGTTATCTTCTCTCTGATAGCCTCTGGTTATTTGTATATGGTAGTTGTTGAAAGAAATTACAAGACAGGGAACGAATGATGGCTGAAGGTTTGAAGAATACTGGTGCAGAAGTAGGCACCGGTACTGAAAATGTTTAAATGCGTGACTATAAATGCCAGTAAACTCTGATCAGCAGCATTTTCTTTTGAAGAGCTCTCTGGATATGCTTACTTGAGTCAACTGTTCATGTAAGAGATTAGAGATTCCCTCTTGTTTTGTTTCGGCATTTGGAGCTTGAGGGTTTTTCTCTCATGACAATTCATCTACTTCTGATAGATGTTAGTGTTTCATCCATCGGAGTAAACAGTTTACACTGAGGAATATAAAAGAACAGCCTTTTAATTTGGCTGTAATCTATAATCTTTTGATTTGCCTCGTCAATTTGGAAATGCTTTGCTGTTGATGTATTAACCATTTAGGTGATATATCGTCTACTGTTTTGCTTACACAGCCGAGGAAAAGAGTCAAATATTGTCCTGGCAATCTTGCTCGAGGCATGCATCTCGCTAGATCTTCTGGCGAACGGTTGGCAACTTAAGAGAAGGATTGCCAGCATCCCTTCCTTCCCGCCCTTTTGCTTAGGAAATTAATGGTTCTTTTCTTAAGGACAGAAGACTTCGATGTCTAATCAAAGTGCTGACCAGGGATTTATACGATTCGAACTCCCAGCTTCTGAATATGATCAGTGGTTTGCTATAACTGGATGCCTTGCTAGGCACGTCTCATCAGAATCTGCCCCTGTCGTTCTAAACCGAAGCCTGCCATTTACGTCCCTGTCTGTTTCATCTCGTAATAACAGCACTATATATAAATGCTTAGCTTTGACACTCTTTGTCAAAGGCACAAGTTTTTCCAACTTTATTAAGATTCAGCAGATAAAGTCGAAATCAGTTAAGACTAGAGAAGAAGAAGGAAAAACAAGATCAAACATCTTATATGAACCACTACAGTAGTACTCTGTTACTATATGGAACCCTAGGTTTCAATGCTATTTCAGCCGTAATGACCTACCATGTCTGTTGGGTTATATAGGTATGGTGTTGCTGCTACAATAGATAAATTATCGCACAGGCATCATCCGGATGGCAAGAACAAACCACTGCAGATATTTTCCTCATTTATTACACCACCAATGCCAATTTAATTTCTCTCTTCAGCTTTCAGTCATACCTTGATTTGTTGCTAATGCATAACGAGATAAAACAAAACAAATGGTGGCTATGCTTGAGCTTCAGTTTTGCTCAGTCACAGATTCCTTTTGCCCACTGATGACCACAAACATGAAGGCCAACGCCAATAAAGAGCTGGTGTTACTGGGACTGGAATTCGAAAAGGTTTGAGTTTGGCAGTGGTTTGCGGATCAAGCGGGTGTAGTTGGTATTGGATTTGGGTAAAGTTCTAGTGGACATGGCAATGGACTCGGGTCGGAATCTGGTGGGTGGTGGGTATGGAGGCAGGCGAGACTCGAGTCATCTGGTTTATTCTACTTTTAACCCTATAAACTTCAGGATGCTCAATTTTTTAAGTTGGTTTTATTCTTTCTATCATATTCTATTATTTTCTTTCCTCGTATTATTTTTTTATATATAGTTTTGATGTGAAAATATTAAAAACAAATTTTTAAAAATATAAAAAATATTATTTTGATGTATTTTTAAATAAAAAATACTTTAAGAAACAACTACTACCCTAATATCTATATTTTTATATACTTTGATTTAAAAAAAATAAAAAATATATTTATAACTAAAAAATATTTTAAAAAACAATTAACATCAGTCTCAAGCATTCACTCGATCAAGCAAAACTCACAAGTCCATCCTTTTGGTATTTTCTACTTTTAATCATATAAAATTTTATATGTTTAATTTTTTTAAGTTTTTTTTTACTATTATATTTTATTATTTTTCTTCATTATATTATTTTTTATTTAAAAAATATTTGAAAAGCAATCATTATATTCAAAATTAATAATTAAGCAAAAAACAATTCAAGAGTTATGTCCCTGTAGGTTTGGTTTGACTACTAAGTCAAATTTCCGAGATATCCAAACAAAGTATTTACTATTCAAAGCATAAAGAGGTTTATCACAAGCAAAGTCTCAACATATATCGTTGTATAAACAAGTACAGAGAGAATGTCCTGGCCAAATTTGCCTAAAAGAAGCGAGGGAGGTGGGAAGGAGAGGCACGAGAGTTGGAAAGGAATGAAAAGAAGTTAAGCATTAGTTTCTTTCTACCTTTTTTTCTCTCTTTCTGTCTCTTTTTACCCCCTTTAGCCAGACTTAACCTGTGGTGGTTTTGGAGATCCTGACGCCAATTTTTGTGGCATCGAAAACCTGACCTTAATTATCCATATTTCTTATTCGAGGGGCATCATCAGCAACATTCCTAAATGCCTTCCAATGCCACAGCTGATGACAATGGTGATTCACTCTTCAATGCCACTGCTGTAGCCATTGACAAAGACAAGAACAGCCAGCATGCTTTTCGTTGGGCTGTTGATAATTTCGCAAGAAATAACCCGGTTATTGTCCTAATTCATGTCAAGCACAAAAACCATCAATATAGTAGGTACCCTCTTCTCTTTTCTCATTCTATAAATGAGTTGAGGTTTTGTCTGATTGTTTTGTTTTATCTGTTGAGATTCATTCAGAAGTTGCTGATGGTCAGGCTGAGGAGGTGCAGCGGCTTTTCACTTCCTCCCGTGGATATTGTGCCCGTAAAGGGGTAAGCAAAGCTGATGCCATGCATGTAGAATCTGGCCTTATAAGGTTATATTATTATAGCTGCATTAAAATGGGATATAAGCTGATGCCATGCATGTAGAATCTGGCCTCATAAAGTTATATATATATATTGCCAAATTCAGGTTCGTTTAAAGGAGGTAGCACTAGATCACATTGATGTTGCCCAGGCGGTCGCGGACTACATCAACAGCAGTTTAATTGGAAATATTGTTTTGGGAGCATCAGGAAGAAATGTTCTTACAAGGTCTCTCTCTCAAAAAATAGTACTGAACTAGGAAAATCTTTGGTTTACAGAAATTACAATGTACAGTACTAAGCTATCTCATGTTATGGGTGCACAGGAAATTCAAAAACCAAGATGTGCCAACTAGCTTAATGAAAATTGCCCCGGATTTTTGTTCTGTTTATGTAATCAATAAAGGAAAGATCCTCTCTTCCAAAAAAGCACAACGAAGGCCTCCTAGTGCACCACAAAAGACACCATCTATGCCAGCAGTTACATCTCGAAGTCAGCAGGATAATGCTGAACTAGATTCAGGTGGAGTTAGGTAGGAGTTTTTGCTGCACATCGCACTCCTTATTGATGGAACAGATCCACTGATAGATAAGCAGAGGCTTGACCATCAAAATCTAATACTGCATTGTGTGTGAAGATGCGTTCCTTAGTATACATGATTGAAAAGGAAGCATGCATGTTTATTTTGATAGCCTATCTAAAATTCTCTCTTAATCGTATGCCTTGTTTAATGTTACTTTTTTTCTTATTAAACTAGAGCACAGACACGGAAGAGAGAGTGTAGAAGTACAGAACCAGGTGGATTTTCTTCAGACAAGGTCCATGATCTCATTAGAGAACCACAACATGAGAGAGGAAGAAAGTCCATTCCTAATTTCTCAATGGAAAGCACTGACCCTCCCTTCTCTGCCTCTGATGCATCTCAAAATACAGGGACATTCGCGTTGGCAATCATGGACAGCTCGGCCCAAGGTTTAGATATTTCTGTTGCTTCAGCCTCCTCTCTGAACGAGTCAAACGCAGTAAGTGCAAAGTTTTCTTCAGTCAACACCAGTGGGTTTCTTTAGGTTGAACGTTTTGTAAATTGTATTCATACAATAAGAATTACTGCATTGTAAAAAATGGATATTGATAACCTTAGCATTTTTGGATTATGCTTTGCAGGACTTCTTAGAAGCTGAGATGAGAAGACTGAGGCTTGAGCTGAATCAGACCATGGCAATGTACAGCACAGCTTGCAAAGAAGCACTTTCAGCCAAAAAAAAGGTAGTTTTATACCATCATCGAATGCATCAAAAATTTGGAAGAACATTGCTGTCATTGAACGCAATCCTGCATTTGAACACATTGCAGTTTCCATGCTCGGTTGGCTGCTGATACCCAGAAGAAACTTAATTGATAGGTTATAAAGAAAAAGTTATGAGACGCCACAGCTTAAAGCACCATTAACAAATGTTATGTTTTTCAAATTGGTTCAAAAGATTTAAAGCTGAAAGTTCTTGATCCAGGCTACTGAACTTAATCAATGGAAGGTTGACGAGGTTCGGAAGTTTGAGGAAACCAAGCTCGCAGGAGAGGCAGCTCTTGCCATGGCAGAGCTGGAGAAGGCCAAGTGCAGAGTTGCCATTGAAACAGCTGAGAAATCACAGAAACTAGCAGAGATGGAAGCTCGGAAAAGAAAACAGGCGGAGATGAAAGCTGAGCGAGAGACAGGGGAGAAGAATCGTGCTTTGAATGCTTTGGCACACAATGATGTGCGGTACAGAAGATACACTATTGAAGAGATTGAAGAAGCCACGAATAAATTCTCACCATCAAATAAAATCGGTGAAGGAGGATATGGACCTGTGTATAAAGGCAAACTTGATCATACCCCGGTTGCCATTAAGGCTTTAAGACCTGGTGCTGCTCAAGGGAAGAAGCAGTTCCAACAGGAGGTAAGGTAGCAAAATAATCTTCTCAGGATTACAAGTGTGATTGTCTGCACAATCTAATTGAGTCATTCATCTTTAAATAGTGGGCAAGTTTTTCCTCTAAACCATTAAATACTGTTCAGAAGCCTAATTATTTTTGGAGCTGTTTAAATTCATGACTGATTTAGCATTCTCGGTAATGTGAGTAGGTTGAGGTTCTCAGCACCATTAGACACCCACACATGGTCCTTCTTCTTGGTGCCTGCCCTGAGTATGGAGTCTTGATATATGAATGCATGGACAACGGAAGCTTGGAAGACAGGCTGCTTCAAAAAGACAACACCCCTCCAATTCCATGGAGCACACGATTCAAAATAGCTGCTGAGATTGCCACAGCCCTTCTGTTCCTCCACCAAACAAAGCCAGAGCCCCTTGTCCACCGGGACCTTAAGCCAGCAAATATTCTTTTAGACCGTAACTATGTGAGCAAAATTAGTGATGTTGGCCTTGCTCGTTTAGTCCCTCCTTCTATAGCTGATAGTGTCACACGATACCACATGACCTCAGCTGCAGGTACATTTTGTTATATAGATCCCGAGTATCAACAAACAGGATTGTTAACTACAAGATCAGACATTTACTCAATGGGAATAATGTTACTCCAAATCATCACGGCCAAGCCTCCGATGGGTCTTGCTCATCAGGTGGGGAGGGCAATCGAAAGAGGAGGATTTTCAGACATGCTTGACCAAACAGTATCGGACTGGCCTGTGGAAGAGGCGTTAAGATTTGCTATACTGGCATTGAAGTGTGCTGAACTAAGGAAGAGAGACAGGCCAAGTCTTTCCACAGTTATAGTGCCAGAACTTAACCGGTTGAGAGACTTCGGAATGAACTCAGAACAGCAGCAGAGCCGTGGAGTAAGCAGCAGAGGTCGTAGTTGCAGTCCTCTTCCGCATCCTACGTCAACTTCACCGGCAAGGATGTCAAATGCAACTCAGATTGGTCAATATTGAGTAATCATAGAGGCACCAATATTCAACTTGTTTAAACTTTAAACTCGGTTGTTTGTTATTAAGGTGCTGGGATGGATGATATATAGCTGCAAAATTTGTAGGAATCAGGAGGACAAAATAAGGGACCTTTTGATGCTAAACAAAACTACAGGTCATGACACTAGAGAAGTTGAATTTGATCACCCCAAAATTACCTAATCAACTACAAGGATTCTTTTCACCGTTCATTTTCCATATTGGGCCATAGCATGCGTTGGTTTCTGAATGCATCTATTTTCTAATGTGCTGTTTGGATGCTAATTAACCAGGAGAAAGCACGTACGTCCTGTAGAGGGAGAACTGAACAAGGTTCTAATCAGGGAGAGGCCGACGGCCAAGAAAGTTAAGGCCCAACCTACATGAACCAGCACCAGAAAGCTGCTTGCTGATAGAAAAGAACGAAGTGTTCATAAACCAAAGAGACATGGAAATTCAAGGATGTTTGTAATGTGAGTTCTGATATTTTTGTAAGAAAACAAGATGAAACAAAGAGCCATCTATCAGAAATGATGGGAAACAAGAACCGTGAATCTTCACTCTCTTGCGAATGTGCCTTCTGTATTCCATTACTTTTGTTCTTCCAGCACAATAGACAGTTATTTTGTTTATCTTCTAATACTAGGCGGAGGTTGAAAGTACCTTTGAGACAGTGAATAGAGAAACAAAAAGGCTAAAAGGTCAAAGGAAATTTTATCTTTACTCTAACTTGGATATCAGTTTTATGTAATCAATGCCGGTAATTTTTCTTTGTTATTTTTTTTCTTTTTTTCTTTTCTTTTTTTCTCAAAACTACGTCTGAGACATTAACTGGAAAATAGGGTTCCTTGTAGTAATATTGAACACAAGCACAAAGGAGTATGATTACCGCATCCTCATCTGAACTTTGAAAGATCAAGAAGACTGAACAAAGCCACAAAAGAACATAAAGAACCATCTCACAATTAATAGATCGAAAGGTTGTTAATTAGCGTAGAAAATATGTCCATGATAGTGGGGATGGTCCACATAATCAATTTTGTCCCAAGGACGGAAGTATTCAAGATGGGACAGCACCAATTAATTCATAATTAACGTTGGTGCTACATGGGAGATAGAAGTCACTGGAACCTGGAGTGGGAGAGAAGATTCAGAAGCCTATCCTGAAAGAAAAGAACAAATAAAGAAGAAAGGCATAAAAAGTGATAAAGTGAAGAGAGAATTAGTGCCCTCGAAACTGGATTATGATCAGAGAAAGGTATAGAAGAAAGTACGAATGGGATTGTCAAACAAGTTTTGCTTAGGATTCCTTCCCCCACGAAAATGAAAGAATACAAAAATACAAGCTCCAAACTCCAAAGAGATGATAAAGTAATGATCACAGTGCTTTAGCTTGATACTTAATTAAGAGCTTTGAATTAAGAGCTTTTAGCTAAGTGGGGAACAATGTTGCAATGTCAAATGAAAAGTTTTGATGATTTCATCATGTCTGAGCCATGTAGGTCCAACAATGCGTGTTCTGTCTATTCGGATATGCATCCATTTCAGACCAAAAGAAGAAAAATTTGTACCTTCAATGATCTTGAAACTAGCTAAACTCTCTGTACAGCACTCTGATATATTCTGAATGCATCAAATTCGGGCACTTGACTTTAAGGTCCCTTCAATTAAGGGCAAGTTTGGCTCAATTTACTCCATTCTGGTTTATTAAATTATTACCCCATTCATTGGTGAATCCAGCCCTCTGCAGACCAAAGACTAATAAAGGTGTAGAAGTGAGGGCGTCTCCTTTACAGCAATACACCCCTCGACCAATAAAGAAGCATCTAAAAAAACTGTTTTTAAAGGAGCCATATACACGCTTGTAGAGCTAAAAAGGAGCTTATGTTGGCTGTATTTTGGTTCTTTATTAGGTCACAAGGAAGACAAGAACAACAAGTTCGTAAGTCAGGATTGACAAAGCCACTAACATCATAACCTGCAGATTCCTTGATTCAAGGTTGTCCAATGCAACTACAAGAGATGGGCTATCTCAAGGGTCCGCTAACATCTCCAAGAGGAAGATGGTTTACCTTGTTTTTCAAGATAGTAATTGTGTTGGAGATGGTCATGTTTGCTATAGCGAACTCTGATGCTGATCCAATGGGAGAACCTGCGGCGGGTTTACTTTGCATAAGTGATTGTGTTACATGTCCAGTCATATGTTCACCACCTCCTCCACCACTCCTCTACTATCCATCACCACCATCCCGCCACTCTCCATCTCCTCAACATTCCTACCACTCCCCACCACCGCAGCCGCCGCCACCTACATCACCCCCATCACCACCAGCTTATCATTCACCACCGCGGTCGCCACAAGCACCGTCATGGTATCCTATATGGGGCACTCCTCCACCCCCTGTTTATCATTTCAACACTCCTAACGGCCAAGCACCCCCAGGGAAGGGACTGTACCCCTATCCTTACTACTACTACTATTCGTCAAAGGCCTCTTCTTTTTCTCTCCATGCTTCCCATTTCTTTTTATTTGGAGTCATCCATGCTGTCTACTTCCTGTTCTAGTTGCAAAAGGGATGGTGAAAACTGAAAAGTTTGCTAGTAAATTATTTTATAAGGGGAAATTTGAGGGATCCCATGGCGGTAGAATTGTGAAGAACTAATTACTACTAATTATGTTGTTTGTTAATTAAATATATATTTTAAAGTTTGTAGTAATGCTGTTGATTTTGTCAAGAATGATGTTACTCTTTCTTTTTGTTTCTGCATTGCTCAATTCTAATTTTACGATGCAAGAGAAAGCATATATTGCAAGTTAGCATCCATGAAATTTCTTTACCATCAATGGAGCCCTTTCTTTACTCTTGTTGGAGATCAATCTGCAAATGGAAACGCCACCGAGTAGTCATCTTCTCGGGTTTTCGGTCGAAGGCAAAGATACAACATGGCCGAGTTTTATGGATGTCTTTTGGGGGCATGCTCATATCTGTGCTTTTAGTGCTAAATATGTTCAAGAGTCTAAAGCAAACCCGGCCTATTCCGATGGGCCGATTTGGTAATCTAAAACCTAATTTTAACTATATTTTATTTCAAATTAATTTAGATCGAGTCTAATAATTATGCTCTAAAACATGAAAGACAAGTTTGCTTCATATAATATATTGCCCCCTCCCTTTCCCTCCCAACCTCGCCAAGCACGCCCATGTTTCTGGCCGACTTCTATTAGGTACATGCTTCGATATATTTTTAGTTGTGGTATGCTAGAACCGCTCATCACCCAAGTGTCTGTGTATGTTTTTCCTTGCAGAGGTGCCTCATTCCTTGCGAACAAATATTTTCTGTTAACATCCTACCTCAAAGAGCACAGCCAATCTATCAACCTACTCACTAGCAAATGACACAACAAGCACTCTGATCAATGATGAGCATGATCACTCTGTCAATATTATTAATGGGTTCCTCATACACACACTAGAAATAAAAATAAAAATAAAAAATAAAAGTTCTAAGAATTTCATTAGATAGATTTGAAGTTATTTTAAGGTTTATACAAAAAATAATTACTTGAATATTATATGTTTTTTATTTTTAAATAATTATTTTAAAAATTAATTATTATAAATTATAAATCATCCAAATATCAGGTTTCTAATGGTTATTTACATGAATAATTAATGAGAAATCTCTTAAATTATTTTTTTATGAGAGATAAAAAGAAAGATTGTTTTGTCTTTGAGTACTAATTTTTTTTATGTGTTCTTCACGTGTTATATACAGTACTACTATACACAAAAAAATAAGAGGTATAGTCATTTTATTTATAAAAAAAAATTTAAAAAATTCTATAAATAACAAAAATATCAATTTGCCCTCTAAGTGATATCACATATATTATTTCATTACAATTTTAAAAATGTATTCAATCAAGTTTTTATTTTGATTTTTCTAGGTTTAAAATTGTAATTTTTTCTATGAATTATTTTATATTTGTCAATTTCTAAAACTTGTTTACAATTAAAACATACTTGATTAATCATCTCATTTTAGTTTTTAACAAAATATTTATATGTGTGTGACCCATTAAGTTTCTTAATAAGTTGACTCAAACAGAAATTAAAATTCTAAATAAATTTATTATCTAAATTGATTAATTTATATTTGAAGATCAAATATAATGTCTAGTAATTTGTCATAATTCTCAAATATTAGAAAAGTCATAAGTGGTTTGAATTAACATTTTAATGATTAATTTCTCAGTATAATTATTATCTCTTCACCTATAATGTTTTGATTTAGACATAATAACATGAAGTATGTTTACTCTATTAAATCTTGTTTGTTCTCAATACCATAGTTATTAATTTTTTAAATAAAATTTGAAACTATTTTTATATCTTCTTCCATCCTATGCAAGAATTTACAATAAATACAATTTGAGAATATATAAAATATTTTTTTCTAATTCACGTGAGATGATGAATTCTCTATTGATCACTTATATATCTTCATATAATCCATGTTATACTTAGTATTTACTTGTTTGTTGTCCCTAGTTAGGATAACATGTGGTATAATCATAATATAATATATTTTTTTACATAAAATGATTTAGTAATCTCAAATCTAAGAATCACTCGTATAACCATCATGTGAATTTTTATATATATACAAGTGATCTCTTTATATAAAATTATCATACATGTCAATTCAATATGCATGTCATCTGACAATCACCTATATATTAATTCTAAATATCCATTGTATATCAGTTTATAAGAATAATTACTTATTTTCAATTAAAATAAAAAAAATATGTATCAGTTTCAACAACTATAATTAATATTCAGTTTTAATAAAGAATTAATTATAACTATTTAGAAACAGTACTTTAATACAATAAAAATCTTATAATTATAACAACTTTATAATTTTCTTTACAAAATATTTTTATCTTTAAAATTTTATTTTTACTCTAAATTTATAAACCTTTATTAATAATTATATATTTTTTAATAAATAAAATTAATATAACATGTAATCAACTAATTAGTTATATAACATATATATTGATAATTATAACAACCAACAATCTATCATGAGAACTTCACACATCACAATATCAACAATAACACTTTTCATAAGATAAACCGGTAATTTATCATGAAAACTTCACAAATCACAGCATCAATAACAACACTCTTTATAAGATAAGCTGGTATACTTAAGATTTATAAATATTTACATTATGAAATAATTTAATAAAAGCTAAAACACAACATAAAACAAATATTATTCTAAACACAAAATATACAGTGAACACTACAAAGCCATGTTATTCCTATCATACTCTACGTATCTTCAAAACCTATTTTTGCAAAAAAAAAAATTATGAAAATTCCCTCATCAACTTATAAGATAAAAAAAAAAAATCAACCTAACCACTCCATCAACCTAAAATTATAATCATGAAAAGCTAATTTTAACCCTAACTTTTCGCAAAATATAATGTAATATAATTTTGTGATACCTCAAGATTTGCCTTGATGGTAAGGCTGTGGCCTATTCTGCCTTCGGAAAATTATTCTCCACTTTCCAAAGTCTCCATTTGTGGATGATCTCTATAACCAAAAAAAAAAAAAAAAAAGACAGAACATTCTTGGATAGAGATGGTCTTTCATTTATGATATTAACAACTAATTAATCGAAATTTGGACTTCAGAAATTCACTTTAGGGTAAATTTCAATTTGTATTTAAGGTTTATATGTTATCTTAACCCTACTTAAAACTTTTTATTTAATTTAATTAGCTTTCAAACAATTTGTTTCAATTATGTCCATATCTTCACTGTTAATGTCTGGAATATTAATGTACACGAGCTTTGTTGCAAAAAATCCCTGGAGGATCCAGGTTGATCTTGGATTGCATGCTCTTAAAGATAGATTGGTGAAGCCGAATCTCTAGGGTTTTTTTTCTTTTCTTTTTTGCCATGATTTTTTTTGGATATAATAAACACGCATGGACCAGACGTTATAATGATGTTATTTTATTTTATTAAACTATATCACATGAAAAACATCTAAGATGTTACAAGACAACATGAAATTAAAATTAAAATTCTTGTATTTTAAACTAAATAAACTGGATTTTTTTTAATAATCTAATTCAATTAATTAAATTGTAAATATAAATTTATGTCATTATATAATTATATAAGGAAAGGAAGCCGGGAGATGCCTAAGTTACTGCTTATTGTCAACTAGTTTGATTACTCAGGCTGCTATTCTACAAGGCAGAACATTTTTTTCTCAACCCAAAATAAGTGTTGACATTATTAACGTTTTTATACCATCATTTTTATTTTTGTTTATATATATATATATATATAAAATAATTGTGTAGATTACAATAAAAGATGTTGCCTCCTAGAAAAAAATATTAAATAACTGTTTCGATTTGAAATTGAACCCGTGAATTTTAATTAGTTTGAATAGATAAAATTAAATTTTTTTTTATCAAATCAAATATTAACTTAATTTCAAAACTTATTCTTAACATTGCAAGAATATTATATAAATTAAATTAAAAAAAATATCAAACTCAATCTCAAATTAACTTAATCTAAAAGCATTAAATTAATTGAGAGTAAAAAAACTAATTAACAAAAAAAATTTAAAAAAAAATTGTAGGTAATAATTACAACCCATATTGGATTGTGTTTTTATTTTATATTAGATTTCTTTTTATCTTGTATTACTTATATGTTTATAATTTCAAATATTATTTCATGATTTATAAAAAATTAATTTTATAAAATCATATGAGAAATAAAATGATCGAATAAAAAAACACATAAATAAAAAAAGGTTTAAGATATGTTAAATGAAAACAAAATGACCCCATTTTTTTTAAGAAAAACTTGAATGGAAAAAAATACGATAAAAAAAAGATTTGGATAAAAAAAAATGTTAAGGTAATTCATGTTCATATAACCAATATTTTTTTTACCTTAACTGTTTTATTTATTTTTATATAATTGTAATATAATGTAGCTAACGTTTGAGAAGACAAGAGAAAAAAAACTTAAATTTAGCCTTCATAATCTTTTCTAACAAGTTTTTCTTTTGTTTTCCTTTTGTTTTTTAATCTTTGAATGACAAGACGAGGATAGGTGCATGCTGACTCCAACGGACAGAATACAATCACAAGGACCCGGTGCCAAGACGTTGCCCAACAAAACTAGCCAGCCCGGTCACCAGTCACCGGAACCCACAAAACAAAACCATCTCCCTTCCTTTCCTGCCACCAGATCCAGACAAACGAACTCAATTACACAAATTAACATTTCGATATGCTCTTCTCCGGTCAATTGTAATTCAACAGATCTACAATCTCCTCTCGAACAAAGTCCAAAACCCTAAGCAAATATCTTCATCCAAAATTATGGAGATAACAGAAAACGGACAAGACACGTCATCGGCGGTTACGAGTCTCCTCCCTCTCGCCTCCGTTTCTCAACAACCTTACGTATCTGAGCTTCTCTCATTCACTCTCGATCGCCTCCACAAAGTACGTTACATTTTTTTTTTGAAATTATTATTATTATTGAGAAAGCTAACTGAATCTGTTATTGGTGGTTGAAAAAGGAGCCGGAGTTACTTCGGGTAGATGCGGAGAGAATACAGAGGCAAATGCAGGAGGTAGCGGTGGTGAATTACCGTGCCTTTATTGCAGCGGCTGATGCTTTGCTTGCTATTCGACAACAAGTTTCTTCTATTGATAACCACCTTGAATCTCTGGTACTTCTCTTGATTTTAGTTCATTGATTGATGCATTGCAATTGTAAAATCCGAAGTGATCAGCGATTAATTTGTGATTTGGAAGGAATTAAACATTATAAATACGTGATTTGATTAGTACTACTTCACGGATCAATAAATAATTTGCTGGTTCTAAATGCATGTGTGATGATGAGAAGAGAGAGGTGTTAAGAGTATTTTCGTTGCCAGTCAATAGTGAAGCATTTTTCACTCGGCACGAGAACGCTAGCTTATTCTGAATTTATTTTGAGAAAGTTCTAAAATTTGATTGCAATGCCAAGGAGGATTCATTCGGTATCAGGAAGGTTGGACAGTTTCTTTTAAACTGTGAAAGAGTTTACTGGATGTGGTACCCTGGTATTACTGGAGTTTTTTACAAATTAAGAGTAAGGTTTATGTATGATTCTAGAAAATTCTTTTTTCGTTATAGGTATTTAATATGAAGTAATTACTGAATATTGTCTCAGTAACCTTTATATATGTGTTTTTCAAGTGCTTTTAAGAATATGGATTCTTTATAAATCGATGTTTAGTTTGTTTGTTTTTTCATGGCAGATAACTGAGATCCCAAAGCTGACATCTGGTTGCACTGAGTTCATTGAATCTGCAGAAGAGATTTTGGAGAAGAGGAAGATGAACCAAACATTGCTAGCAAACCATAGTACATTGCTCGATTTGCTTGAAATCCCTCAACTTATGGACACGTATGTGTTTTACACATTCAATAAGGTCATGCGTTATAGTTTAATCAATGTCTAACATGGTAGATATGGTGTTTCTCAAGCTTCTACTGTAGACTAACCCTTCATGCATTTCTTGATTGGTAGTGTTGATTGGCCATCATATCCATTTTAAACTATGTGCAGCGATCCAAGTGTACAAATTAAGTTGGGAACTAAGAAACTGTTCTAACTTACCCGATTTACCATTTAATTAAACAATGCAATTGATCGATCATGGTAAGTTTAGACACTTCTTAGAAGGTGAAATTTGCTTGCCCTTTGGAAGACTGAGATAGGAAGAAGAATTTGTTGCACCTAGATGGAGAGGAACTTGGAGGATATGGTCCTCATTTTTATTTTTATTTTTGTTATTCTTTGGGTGTTTTCAATGTAATATGTTACTGTTGCTTTCTAAGAATTTTGTGCAGTTGTGTGCTTGTGTGGTATGGATACTTTTCTTTGGAAGGAAAATTTAAAGAATTCTTAACAGATTGATATTTTATCCTGAAAAGTGTATTAAAGATTATTAAAAACTAGATAGGACCTGGCAGTTGATTGGGGACCTGATATGAAAATGGCTGATGATTTTCTAATTGTAGTATGGCACCGAAAACTTCAACAATTCCTGTTATTTTGCAGGTGTGTAAGGAATGGAAATTATGATGAAGCCCTTGACTTGGAAGCATTTGTTTGCAAACTCTCAACCATGCACCCCAAGTGAGTGATTTGCATGTCATTTCCTTGCCAAATGATATTATTTTTTCCATTTCTTTTGTGAAAGAAAGCTTACTTGGAATCTGTTTATCTCTGAAAGATTGCCTGTTATTCAAGCACTGGCTGCAGAAGTTAGGCAGACCACCCAATCTCTTCTTTCTCAGCTTCTTCAGAAACTTCGCTCTAATATTCAGGTATTATGCAGCAGTCAAATAAAATGCAAATATTCAGGCTTATGAGATGTTGAACAAAATGCAACTTAATTGTTATATGCTAAGGATTGGATTTAATTACACAATTTTTTGGTTGTGCCATAAAACTGCAGCTGCCTGAATGCCTCCGAATTATTGGATATTTACGTCGCATAGGGGTATTTAGTGAGTACGAAATGCGTTTGCAGGTAAACTCACAGATTTCTTTTGTGTACAGTACTGATTTGCTATTCTAGGGTTATGCTAAATACAATTCTTTTTAACATTTCCAGTTTAATATGCTACTGGATTAGATACCATGTAAGTTGATTGTATGCTTTCTTTAGTAGATAATATGCTTGCACCTGACAAGATTTCCCCCCCCCCCCAGTTTCTGAGATGTCGCGAGGCATGGCTTACTGGTATTCTTGAGGATCTGGACCAACGGAATGCTTATGAGTACTTGAAAGGGATGATAAATTGCCATAGAACGCATCTTTTTGATGTTGTTAACCAATATCGAGCAATATTTGCTGATGATACCTCAGGGAGTGAAGAAAACTATGATGGTGGACTTCTTTTTAGTTGGGCTATGCATCAGATTACCTCACACCTTAAAACACTTAAAATCATGCTCCCAAAGATAACCGAGGGCGGGTCTCTGTCAAATATTCTCGACTCATGCATGGTAAGAATCTTGCATTGATATTGGATAAGTGCATTTGTTGTAGAATTCCTTCGAGCCTTTGCTGTAAAAATTTATGCGCGTGCGTCTCTTTGATAATTTAAACTTTCTGGTAGACTGTCATCATTCTCCTAGCTTTTTTTGGGTCACGTATACAAGTCTCCTTTTCTATTTTTTCTTATGAAAGATTGAATGAAAACATGTGTTTCCCTATTTTCTAGCTCACAAGAGTGCATTATAAGCCCTTATTATAGAAGCAAATTGTATTTAGTTAGGGTCTTGACACTTTCTGCATGCCGAATTTGATAATGTGTTACATTTTTTTTATTGACAGTATTGTGCGGTGGGACTTAATTGGGTCGGGCTGGATTTTAGGGGCTTGCTTCCACCTCTTTTTGAGGAGTAAGGATACATCTTTTGTTTTATATTATTTATTTATTCTCTCTCATGTTTTCCCTTTGCAAAAGTTGATTTTGGCTATGTTGCAGGGCAGTTCTTAATTTATTCTCTAAGAATATGAATACAGCAGTTGAGAATTTTCAGGTATATGTCAAGCGTGCTGAAGTTTGGGTTTTCTTTCTTACGGTGGCTTGAGTTTTTTTCCTCATGTTTCTTCTGAACTGGTTATTAAGAACTTCATAGTCTGGTAGTTTTATTTTCCTTCAAGCTTCTTATTGCCTGGTATTCGAAACTTGATGTCTTTACTCCAGCTAGTTTTGGATTCACATCGCTGGGTTCCATTACCAGCAGTTGGTTTTCCATCATATAGCATTGGTGAAGAACAGCAAGAGGATGTGACCCCACCATCTTATCTTATGGAACATCCACCTCTTGCAGTGTTCATTAATGGTAAGTTTGAGATGCACTTCTAAACATACACTCTCCTCTTTTGTGAATTTCAGTTTTGTAGCTGATTAACTTTATAGTGCAATACAGTTATTTTACAAAAGCTGAATTATTCAGAATTCATATTAGATATTTGAGTTTCAAATACAATCTTGTTGATAAATGATACATGATATTCTGAAAGATAGATGGACCTGCACAATGACAACAATGATTCGTACAAATCATTGACTTGTCTATGATAACTGAGATTGAGTGTGTTCTCAGGGAACAGTAGACTGAATTCCAGGAATGCATGTATGGTTGCTTGAAAAAAATAGAGCTTTGGCGTTTCAGAGCATTGCTTGTTCTTTGGCATTGACTGCTGTGTCTTTCTGATGGGTTAGGTGTATCTGCTGCAATGAATGAGCTGCGTCCTTGTGCCCCAGTAAGTTTGAAGCATGTGCTTGCTCAAGAACTGATTAAGGGATTGCAGGCTGTTTCTGATTCTCTATTGAGATATAATGCGACTCGGATGCTCAGAGACAATGAATCTGGACTTTTTCTCTCACTTTGCCGGTCATTCATAGAGGTGCCATTGAGTTATACCCGGGTTGATTTGATGCTCATTGAATGGAATTTACAACCTTGCATTCTTACAAACCCTGTTTGCAGGTTGCTTACCCACATTGTGCCACATGCTTTGGTCGCTGTTACCCAGGAGGAGCTGCTCTTATTATGGATGCGAAGAACTTGTATGATGGAATTGGCCGTTTGCTGGCAACTTCTTCTAGAGAGCTGCAAAGACCTGTCAATAACACAGAGGGAAAGAAGATAACAGAAAATGGGGACCAGCTTGTGGTGGAAAATGGGGTTACTCCAGAGGTAGAACAATCAGGGGTTGCTATTGCTGATGAAAAAGATCAGATAAGCCCCACTGTACAAATTGATGAAAAGCAAGGTGATTCTGCAGCATCTGTGTGAGAAATCCAACCCTGTCATACATGCAGGAAAAGAAGAACAAACAGCGGTAAATGCCAATCACTAGTATGCTTTTCTTCTGAATTGTATCTCGCCATTTCCTATATCATGTCAAGTGATGATTATTATGATTTTTGAAATATTAGTTGTGTGATTACGAGAGGAAGGATTGTTTCATGAAGGCGGGCACAATAAAGCAAAATGTTTATAGGCCTAGATGTTGTAACATTCATAGCAAGGCACATTTTATGTCCCCTCTTTTTAGGCGAATACCAGTAAAAAAGGGACAAGTTTTGATACTTTTTCTTTTTTATGGAAATATTTTGATTTATGGTGTGCAGATTTTAGCTACCTTTCACAATCAAGGTGGCGTAACCCTTATTCAGATTTGATTAAATGGCCTGAATGTTAGCAAAGTATCTGCCCAGATTATAGCACTCACAGCCTTATTTGCCTCTTCATGGCCTGCTGCTTGCCTTTCCTCATCTGCAGGTTTGAAAAAAGGAGTATTGGAGAGTCAGATATGATGGGATGGATGGGTGTTAGATGTGTCCCAAAAATGGTCACGATATAATAAACCATCTAACTTTGCAAAAATGGTTGTTCTCTAATTAACTGGAAGAAATATACTTGGGATAACTGAAAGCAGAGAGTGTAGAGAAACCTCTTGAAATCTCTATCGTGATGTTTTAATCTCATAGCTGATTAATTAGCGGTGGCAAGCTATGTTTTTTATGAAGTTTATTAATTAATCCTACCAGCTTTACTTCGTCTGCTCTCTATTTTATTTATCTCCCACAAGTCTATTCACGTTTGATTGAACCAAAAAACAGCCATTGTCCTGTTCTTTCTATGATCCATGTTGGATCTCTTTTTCTTCTTTTAATATAAACAAATATTTAGATATTATTAACTTGCTTTTTAATAAAAAAATAAAATTATATAATATTGATATGATATGACTGGCTCACTTAGCGGTGTTTTGGTGTTTTAGGTGATATCATAACAAATTAGTTTTTTAAACTGGTGTTTTAGGTGATATCATAATAAATTAGTTTTTTAAACTGGTGAAATTAGAAAGGAAAAAATTCACTACTAAATTTTATAATTACTAAAAACTCAAATTAGTTTTTTAAAGTATTGGATAAAGCATTGATTATGGAATATAAAAGTAATTAACTTGACCATATATGTTTTTTTTGCTCTTGTTTGTGTCCACTGGTATAAGAACTCATCAATTCTTGATCGTTTTGGTTTCTTGATCTTAGAGCACATATATTAGAATTTAAGTATTCTTAATGGGTAGTTGTAAAGTGTTGTTAAATATTTATGGCTAAATGAGATCATAGAGCAAGATGTATTCGTTATAGGAGAGGTGATGATGTTTTTTTTTAAATACAAGTAATACAAAAAAGAAGATGAATATCTTATAGTCAAAGATATTTTAGTATTTAAGGATAAAATAGTAAACTTACTCATTACTCATATTTCATGTGAATTCTTAATAATAGACTAAACAAAACACATTGTTAATAATTTTCACTTTTAATCAAGCACAAATATTATACTTTTAGCAATTACATTCCTAGTAATTATATTGTTATGTTGTGTTTAATATTGTGGTATAAGGTGTTTTTTAAAATGTTTTTTACATGAAATATATATCAAAATATTTTTTTTATTTTTTTACATCAATATATCAAAATCATAGAAAAAAAACACTAAAAAGCATAAACTCAATGTTTTCAAGTAAAATGCTCTTTAAAATTCACCAAAAAGAAGAAATTAGCACACTCTAAAATACTTGATAATTAGCTTGTGCTATATTATGGGTTGGATCAAAAAAAAATTTGAACATAATAAAGACTTTTCAAGCAACAAAAACTTTTTGATAATATCATTAAACCTTACAAGGTTGGTCAGCTTTAAAATCTTATGATTTTTATCATTGCTTAACATGAGCTTCTAATTATATCATTTGAGAGTTATTTTTAATAAACTATTTGACTTGACATTAAAAGTAACCCAGATAAATGGTAAAAATATGATTTAACTTATTTTAATTTTTTTTAAATGACATTAAAAAAATATTGGAATAATAATATATTAAATTGATTTTAGTTAATTAGTCGAACTCAAAACTCAGGTTATACACTCTGTTGGGTTTAATAGTTTTTTATGTAAATTTTTTTATTTAGTTATATAATAAAAAATATTCAAAAAAATCAAGCACCAACCCAAAACCTATACATTTATTTGAGACTGTGATAACATTATCGAAAATAACTAAAAAAATATTATAAAACTCAATTCTCAATATATTTTTTCAATTGAGAAATAAAAAGATGCTATTTATACTTTATAAAATAAATTAAAAAATATTTGTACTGATAAATAAAAAAATAGTTGTTAACAATAATTAAATATTAAAACAAGAAGTTAATATTTATAATACAAATAAAAGATAGATATACATACAAATATTTTACACTGAATGTTCTTTTTATTTTAAATATTTTTATTCATTTTATCTCAACAATTAATTATTGTTGCTAAAAATAAATAATTTTTTTATATATAAAAGCTTTATACAAATACAAGTAATTCATATAAAATATAAAAGGAATAAAATTTAAGATAAATTAATTTAATCTTTTTAAAATATCATGCAACTAAAAAATTTAAAAGGCAAGACCGATTCAATAAAAACAATTAATGAAAAGAGAAAAAACAGAAGTTCAAACACACTTTTTTCTCATGTCAGAAAAAGACCGAATGTTGTTCATACGTGCTTTTTTTATGAAGCATACAACTTGTAGCCTGCTAGGTTGCTGCTACCTAGAATCTGGGCATTATTGTTATGGCAGAGAAATTAAGAAGGTCTGCTTTAAAATTTTATTTTTATACTATTTTCATCTAAAACATCTCATAATTATTATAAAAATCTTTATAAACCCTCTACAAACCCCCTAAAATAAAAATCACTAAAAAAATTAACTAAATTTTTTTAACTTAATTTTGACTATCTTTTTCAAAAAGTTTCCCAAAAATATCAAAATTAAAAAAAAAAAACATCTTCAACATGATTTGGTTAATTTCTAGTCATTTCATAATTTTTAGCCATTTTGTTTATTGTTTTCATATTGATAAATTAAAAATAATAATAAAATAAAATCAATCAAACAGAAAAATAAATTTTTTAGTGATTAAAATGTTATTAAAAAAATTTACCACTTTAGAAAAAAAGATTTTAATTGCATATTATTTTTTTAAAACAGAGGGAACTTTTAAAAATTAGAAGCTAGAAGGTAGTAGAAGTTTTTATAAAAATTAAGAAAATAATAAATGAATGTGAAATATTTTAGAAATTAAATATAAAAAAATTAAGTAATATAAACAAATGATTATACACAAAAAGAAAGAATTAGTAAAAAGATGAGTCACAAAAACGTCCCCACACTGGAAACACTCTTCCTTGTCCTTTTAAAAAGAATGGGGTGTTACACGTGTCTTTAAAAAAAAAAATAGAAAAGAATTCGGGCCATTGTTTGAGCCCAACTGTTTTGTTTAGGCAATTTTTTTTATCTCCTTCAGCTATGGGCTTATTTCTTTGCAGAAGCCCTTTTATTTTATGGGTCCATTTGGTTTAGTATTTTCGGAGCACATGGGCTAATATTAAAGATTTGGATCTTTAATTAGATTTGAATTTAAATATTTATTTTGGGTTTATTGTACAGGCTTGGGTTTAAAGCGTGGGTTAATTGTTTGATTTATTCCATTTATTCGGTTTAATTCTTAACTTGATGGTGGATCATTATGGATTGCATATCTTTTATTATTATTAAATGAGATATATGATGAATAAATAGTCTACTACGAGTACATGTTTTAATTAAAATGGTCTTATTTTTTACAACCTTGTTTTTATGTGTTTTTTTAAGGAAAAAACCAATAGTATTCCTGATATTTTAATACAAAAAATATTAAAGATTATAAACTTATATATAAGCTATATTCTTGATATTAAAAGAAACAAATACAAAAAATATATTTTAATTTTAAAAAAATTAGATTTAACTTGTAAAGTCATGATCCACTTTATCGATGTTGATCTATTTTAATGAAAAAAACAAATTAATAATTAAAAAACACAATAATGTCTCAATAACAATTAAACAAGTAACTTAGTGTAGATAAAGTGTATTAAATGTGACATTATCCTTTTTGTATATGATTAATCCTCTTATCTTGTTTTTTAAAACCAATTAGAGCTTTTAATAATTAAAATATTAGATGACAATTCCATAATCTTTTAACAAGAAAAAAAAATAGGAATTACTTATATATATATATATATATATATATATATATATATATATTCTTTGCAAACTCAGCAAGAATTACTTATATATATATATATATTTTTTGATTTACGTGGGGTGTCCGGCCAGCTTGCGCACGCCACGACTAATCTCCACGGCCCACTGAATACTCTGCAAACTCAGCAGGCATGCAAGGCATCGCGGGGGTAACAGGCGTGCACGCCAACACGCCACGACTAATCTCCATGGCCCACTGAATAACGCCACGACTAATCTCCACGGCCCACTGAATACTCTGCAAACTCAGCAGGCATGCAAGGCATCGCGGGGGTAACAGGCGTGCACGCCAGGGCTCGAACCCAGGTGCAGTGGAAGGAGACAAGCCCTTTCCAACGCTAGGCCAAGCACTGAAATGCGAATTACTTATATTTTTTACTCACTATATCTTGGTCCAAAAAAATGATAATTACGACATGATATATATGCAATATAAATAAATAAAAAATCTTAATAAAATTTTATCTATTTTTCCAAGCATGTTTATATTAAAAACAATCACCACTAAATTTTTATTATTTAATAAAATTTATTGATATCAATTTTTTTACCAACTTTCCTGCTTTACTTTTTTTGGATAACTTTCTTTGTTTTTCTTAAACTACTCAAGAATTGAAGATTTTTTTTTTTTAAGATTTACCAATATTTTTTTTTTATATTTTCATCATTTTTTATTGAATTAATTTTTAATAAACTCATCGTTAATCTGATACTAAAAGATTGCAATTGAAAAAAATTTGAGGATGAAAATGATTTTTTAACCTACCGTGGGTTGCTTCAATGTGTGACCTATATATTTTCGAATATTTTGTAATGTAATTGTAATTGACGTCTGAAAGGGGCAGAAATTTTCTTTTCCATGCTAGGGGTTTTAGTGTACAGATGCGACACTAACAAATTACAAGTAAATTGGTAAAGGGATGACATTTAAAAAGGAAACAATAGTACAAGGACGAGTATCGGGTTGTCACGTTTAAACCAGGGGGGGAAATGAAGTTTTACTTGTACTCAAACCCCTCTGCTTGGGCTCAAACAACAAAACCCTAATTTCATAACTCTCTCCCTCTCCACTGCCATCTCTCACTCAATTTATTCCTTTCTCCCCATCTCATTTTTTCAGTAGTAAAGGTACAATTTTACTCATTTACTCTATTTTTATCTTTACTTGTTTGATTGAATGAAAAGCTGCACTTTATGCTTAACTTTTCTTTGATTTGTGATTAAAGTGTTTGAATTTTCTGTGAAGGGCTGTGCAATGGAATCCAATGTGGAACAGAAAAGCCCATCTCAGAAATTTCAAATATACTCTACTGCTAACACTGGTGTCACTCCCTTCTGGAGAGGTCTCTCTACATTTCTTTTTCTCAAAAAGACAATTTCTTACATAAAAATTCGCTGGTTATTTTAATTTAACTCTGTATGTTTTGTTTCTGGGCAGAAAAGTATGAAAGGGATGCTAAGAAGTATTGGGATGTTTTTTACAAGCGACACCAAGACAAAGTAAGCATCCTTAGTCATTTTGATGTTTTCTGCTGGGATAATTCAATTTCTTAATTCGTTTTTAAAGTATTATGCTTGAAGGGACTTGGTGCGATTTTGAGTTATTTTTATCTTATGTAAGAAAGTTTTGAACTTATTATGGTTTGTGAATTGCACTAGTGGTCTAATTTACTTTCGGTATTATGGATATTGGTTATCATTGTTCTTCAGTTTTTTAAGGACCGTCATTACTTGGACAAGGAATGGGGTCAATATTTTGCAGTAAGTTGAAAAAAGATAACTTTTTTGTTTGTCATGATGGTTGGCCGAATTTTGTGATCATGTGAAATTATTGACATTATTGATTTGGGATTTGTAGGGCGAAGAAAGAAGAGTTGTTCTTGAGGTAGACAGAAAAAATCCTTCTCTGCACAATGACTTTTCTAATCTATACTATTTTGGTTATTGATAACTCCTGCTGATAAACAGGTTGGCTGCGGAGCTGGGAACACCATTTTTCCTCTTGTTGCTACTTTCCCTAATATTTTTGTCCATGCATGTGATTTCTCACCGCGCGCTGTTAACTTAGTTAAGGTCTGATCTCTTACCCTTTACTATCTGATTTATTGCAACGATGTATGATTGAACATATTCAAGAATTTTGCTATTTCATTTTGTTTTATTTTTCTGTGAGAAGTAACTGTATCAATCAGAACTATACATTGGATCTGGCACTTATGTTTTATGAAGGTAAAGTTTTAGAACTGATAGTGTGGTTAAAAGTTATTAGTCTAAAATTTTAAATTTCTGCATTATTGACACTGTTCTCTTGATGAATCGATGTTGGACATTATATGCTCGGGTAGCTGCAATAGTATTTATCTAAGAAATTCTTCTGCTCCTAATTCTGGCATCGAACATCGCAATTGCAGTTGTCCTGACCCATGTCCATTAAATATGTAACCAATATTGACTCATATATCCTAATTCTTCTCGCATAAGCCCCCACCCTCTCTCTGAATATAGTGAACCACCATTTTTGTTTTCATATATGTCTCCACTATGAAGAAAATATGATAGATTGCATTACAGTTGACTTTTGTATAATCTGGTATGATTGCATGCACTGCAAGGGTCAAGGAAGCATTGATCTATAAAGTTCTTCAAGATCACACATTTCTTTCTTTGAGATTAATAGTTGTTGTTTTGATTTTTACAATATGCTTTATCCTCGTCAATATTCTGTGTGCTGAACTTAGAATTGTGCCTTTATTTTATAAATTGATGAAATAGTGGCATGATCTTAGTGGGCATTATGTTCTATTTTGATCACATATGAAGCTTGGCAAATTTTACCTTGAACTCATAATTTCTGTTACTGCATTTATTTTTTACTGTCTGCTTATAATCCATATTTTTTTTAGCATAAGTAGGTCTAGTGGTGAATAGATATCTATTGCTTGTTGCAGACTCATAAAGACTACTTAGAGACATGTGTTGGTGCATTCGTATGCGATCTGACTGTTGATGACTTGAGCAAAGAGATTTCTCCGTCTTCAGTTGATATCGTGACAATGGTATTTGAATGCAAATTATTATCTACAATATTTACAAAATAACAGGATGTAACTTTGTTCAAGTTCATGATTAATAATTGCTATCCCGAGTCTCTCATTGAGAAACTTTATCGTGTTTAAATTGTACTTCTCAAGTTTCTTTCTCCTTCATTCAACTTTCTGACTTTTTAAGTAGATATTTGTGTTATCTGCAGTCTCCCCTGAGAAGATGCCTCTAGTCCTGCAAAACATTAAAAAAGTAATAAAGGTAAATTTTTGTAGCTGCAAGTTTCAACTTACTATCTAATCAGATAAATTGATTAATTATGATGAAACTCACTTCTTTCATTCTTCAGCCTAATGGTTATGTGCTGCTTCGTGACTATGCTTTAGGGGACCTTGCTCAGGTTGATCTGCACTCTTCCTTTTCTTTTGGACTTATATTCTATTTGATTAGCAGGTCTTCATAGTTCTTTTTTTTACACCACAGCCCCATCTTGGCATTTATGGGGCTGAGTTTTCAGTGCTGTTGTCCTTCTTTATTCACAGTTGATTTATTTAACGAGCTAGATAAAATATTTCCCTCATGGTTTTTGTCTTGGTGCATCTATACCTATTAATGTGGGTCGTATGTGTATAAACATGAGTCTTTCTCTACCCAGTGGCTTCAGTGGTTGTTGGCCTTATTCATAATTATCTTCTCTCATGATGGTCAACAGGAAAGATTAACTAGCAAGGATCAACAGATTAGTGAAAACTTTTATGTCAGGGGTGATGGCACTGTAAGTTTCAGAATGTGTGCATTCATTATTCTTAGCATTCTATTATTCTAGTTTGGAAATTAGCTATAATTTTTTTCCTCTGACTTCTTTTCAGCGTGCTTTCTATTTTTCAAATGAATTCTTGACAAGTTTGTTTAAAGATAATGGATTTGATGTTGAAGAACTTGGTTTGTGCTGCAAGCAAGTTGAGAATCGGTCACGTGAAATAGTGATGAATAGGTAAATGATGAATATCATGGAGAAGAATACAGAACTCCTGGAAAGTCAAAGTCATTTGTTTTTTTTTTTGTAACACACAAATTATGTGGAACTTTTCCTTCTAGTTTTCTTCTTTTAATACCATCCCATGCAATTTTGCCTGATTTCAGGCGTTGGATCCAAGCTGTTTTCCGATTTTCAGACAGCTCAAACTATTCTGTTAGCAAAGAATCTGCAATCGAGGAAGCCCTCTGTCAAGAAAATGTAAAGTTTAATGTCAAGGAAAGCACATCACAGTACCCTTCAAACAATTTTGAGATTGATATGTCTGAGGGTGTGGCAGCTGAAATGTTTGGAATTTCTCCTTCCAATGATAATGAGGTATGCTCCACCTCTTTCCTTTTGTTTCTTGTTTTGTCCAATTGCTGATAGATTTTGGCGCAAGAATCTCTGATCTTTGCCTCACGAGATTTATTCTTTTCTCCACTAAGCATGATGCATGTGAAGCGTGCGTGTATATATTCCATATAGAAAAAAGGATATAACTTCACAGACATTAATGTATTCAGACATTAATGTATTTTTTTTTTTTCAAAAGGTGATTCACGTTAACCTTAGGGACCAGAATTTCAAGATCAATGTTCTGTCAAAAGAGTATCAGCATACTTGTAAATCAACAGGATTGATGCTCTGGGAATCAGCTCGTATGATGGCTATGGTGCTAGCAGTAAATCCAACTATTGTTGAGGGGAGAAAAGTGTTAGAGTTGGGGTGTGGCTGTGGGGGTATATGCTCAATGGTTGCGGCCAAATCAGCTGACCTTGTAGTTGCTACTGATGGGGACACAAAAGCACTTGAACTGATGTCCCAGAATGTTGCTTCTAACCTTAGACAGCCATCCCTTGCAAAGCTAATTATGAAGAGATTGGTGTGGGGAAATACTGAACATTTAGAAGCCATCAAGGATCTCAATCCTGGGGGCTTTGAAGTCATAATTGGCACAGATGTTACATACATTCCTGAAGCTATTCTGCCCTTGTTTGCCACTGCAAAGGAATTAATTTCATGTGACAGAAATGGTGGAGACCAGGAACCAGCTCTAATTCTCTGCCATATCTTTCGCCAAGTCGATGAACCATCGTTACTTTCAGCTGCATCTCAATTTGGTTTTAAGTTGGTTGACAAATGGCCATTAGGAATTCCATCTAATCCATCTCAAAGCATTGTAGGCTCCTGGTTCCCAGAGAATGGTCGTGAGGAGTACATCCCAAATGCAGCATTGAACATCATGTACTTCCACTTGCAGTGAAGCCTTGCTGTGCTACCATTTTACTTCTCTTTTTGTTCCTCATTACATCTGTCTGATTTATAGCTTGATTTGTTAAATCCATATTTTATTGTAGCATGATCGTGCACTTTAAACCTTTCATTTATCTCAAACCGTTATGATTTGATGTGCTTGTAAAGATCCAAATCAATTAGCAAAGTAACTCAGAATAATTGTCACACTGATATAAAAGGATCTTTGGTTTTTTAATATTTTTGGATTGAATGGAAAGCCATTGTCAGTTACCCCCCACAGAGCAAGGCAACGGGTTGTTACTTTCAAGTGGAAAGACAATTAGATCCTGTCGCCCGGAAAAAGGAGGGTTTTCTTATTTGCACTTGGCGGTGATACTTTTAATCGTCAGGGAAGATTCTTCGTCCACATTGTGTTAAACTTAATCCTTCCTAATCCCCAATCCTTATCCTCGAGAAAAATATGAATTCAAATCACTTGTGATTGAAAAATCATCCATCCTCTGTCACTGAAGGAATTAAGATTATTAAGTGGTCTTCTTTTTTAATTTTCAGAAAAGATTCGCCGGTATCTTCCTCCCTGACTGAAAGCAATCATATAGTGTTACGATAGTCGGATTAAACAAGATGATCTTCTATTAATAAATCTGTTAGTTTTGATTACAGTAAGAGTAGTGCAGGAGTAGAGAGCTGTACAAATTTAATTAGAGACCAATATAATTAAATATGATTTACATTTATGGTATAAAAAATAATTAAAAGAATAACTAAATTATAAATCAAATAAAATGAGTCCCTTTTCATTGTCACTCAAAAAAGTTCATGTTTATCCATAACATCTTCATTTATGCATTTTCTTATCCGTTTAGTTTTAGATCCTTTTAAGGCCCTAAGCTACCACGTTTCCTTCCAGTGCTGCTCTTGTTCTCTCCTCAATCATCGATCCCTTCTTCTTGACATCCAAGAACCAGACCGTAATATAAATGAAGCTTGGAAGATATTGAATAAAATTAGGGTTTGAAATGGACATTATTCATAACCTATTGAGATAAAATTGAATCGCATTCCATTGGTGATAAAATATATCACAGGACTTTTCAATCTCAAGCTGTGTTAAACCAGCGATATACACTGCAATCTAGGGAATTATCATGCTATCATTTTCACCCATTTTCTCCTCATTGATGCGTGCATGCTACTATTTACCAACAGCAGCTGTGATCGCTGTTCTATTCCCTAGCTAGTTGGCTGAACAGGCTAACTATCTCCGTTGTTTAAGCTGCAGCCTGGCAGCCATGAATATTGTAGATTTTTAGCTCTCTTATCACTTCTTGAAAAAATCTTCTGCAGTTCTATTTATGTAATCTGCCAATTTGACTTCTTGCAGCATGCATGTTCAAGTGAAGTGAAGAGAAGAAACGGAGACTTCACTATTATGCTGGTCACTGTTCCCTGGTCACCCGTGTAAACTGTATATGACTGCATATGAAAAATGTCGTGAAATTGACACGCAGATTCAGATTCACTGAAAAAAAATAAATGATCTGGTGTAAATGTTTTATCCCACAACGATCATAGTTCGTACTGTATTTTTGCTATAACTATAATTATTTTTTTCTATCATGGAAGGAAATATATGATTATATTTTGCTTAAAGTAATTCCTTGCTACTGTGGTGTTTGGATGATGTTTCAAGAAAAAAAGAGAGATAAAAATGAAACGATGAAGAGAGAACAAAGATGGAGTTATGTTTGGTAATAATTTTCGAAACAAAACCTTGTTTGGTTGACGAGGAATAACACATTACAAAATGCAAAAAAATATATTTTATATTTGTATTGTTTTGTTTTTATATAATATGTATATTTTATTTATTTAATATTCTCAACTATAATACTATTTTCCCTTTAATAATATGCTAAAAATAAATTGATTTCTTAAAAATCTAATTTATTTGTTTTTGTTTTTTGACCGTAAAAAAATATTAAAATCATAGAAAATTATTTGACATTATTATTTAACTCGACGGTTTAACTTTTAAATCATCCATTCAACTTTTTCATTAATTCAAATTTAAAATTAAATTATGTAAAAATTGATTTAACATGATTTTATTAATTTGACCAATTCAAAGACAATTCAATTAACCATTAAAAAAAAAGGTTAACTTTTAAATCATCCATTTAACTTTTTGATTAATTCAAATTTAAAATTAAATTATGTGAAAATTGATTTAACATGGTTTTATTAACTTGACCAATTTAAAGACAATTCAATTAACCATTAAAAAAAATTAATAATAAAAAAACCGTCTGACTCAATTTCTTATTTAGTAAGGGTTTAAAATTAAACAATATAATAGTTGTTCTGATATATTTTTTATTGACTTAATAAATTCAAAAATAATTTGAATAATTAATAATAAAAAAACCTTCTAACTCAATTTCTTGTTTAGCAAAGGTTTAAAATTAAATAATATAACAATTGTTCTGATATATTTTTATGGACTTAATAAATTCAAAAATAATTTGAGTAACTAGTAAAATAATAATAATAATAATAATTCATTATCCAATCTTGCTTTGTTTATCCATATAAAAAATTAATAGATCTATCCTAATATACCAAAAACTCTTATCACAACAGTTACTATTTAGTGATCTTAATAAATCTATCTTAATATACCAAAAACTCTTATCACAACAGTTTAGAAAATTAAGTAATATTCTAATTGGTTTACACCTTATTAAAAATTAAATTATTGCGAGCATCCTAATCCTAAATGAGCCAAAATATTCCAAAGAAAAACAAAGAACATACTTTTTTTTTTCCATAGATTTCAGTATCATTCCATGCAAGTAAAAATCATCTAAAGATTGGTAAAATCTATTGTTGTCCGAACCAAGCCACCACTAATAACCATGACTGTCATATCATCTTGCATTGAAAAAAGACATGCTCTGTAGTCTTAATTTCTTTTTTATGAAAAAAACAACTCAAATCATTTTTTTATAACATATCTCATCGGTGAAGAAAAGTTTTTATAGTTAGTTTATTCATAATGATAAGCTAGAGATTAGACCCAGAATCTTTTTTACTTGGTAAATGAGTTTTTTACATCAGAAAGATGCTTAAAGGTATTAATTTGGCATATGTCGCTTAATACCAAAAACAAAATTACCAAAGCTCTTCTCCGACTATAGGCTGAACAATATGATTCATGGGATTTATAAAATTGTGTTAAAGACCCTCTCTAACAAACTCTGGTATGTTATCCAAGACTTAATTAGTGACAACCAGACATCATTAATTTTAGAATGACAGATTATTGATGGTTTTTTGATATATAGCTAATGAGATGGTTCATAACTTGAAGATTGATGGTAAAACATGTTTGGTTTTTAAAGTAGACTTCCATAAAGCATTTGACACAATTTTATAGGATTATTTAGATGAAATTATGGGTTATATGGGGTTCAATAATAAATAGAGAAGGGTTTTTATTTATTTATTGAATGTCTCTCTACTTCATACCTCATAATTGCCTATTTTGATTAACGGATCTTCCTTAAAGGAATTCAAAGTTAGTCGTGGAATTCGACAGGGTAATCCTTTATCACCCCCTGTTATTCAGCATAGCTGCAAAAGGACTTTCAGTTTTATTTCAAAGGGGTTTAATTGCTGGACTTTTCAATGGTATTCAGATGTGAAATAGAGAATGTATCACTCATTTGTAATGGCATTCTTGTGTTTATGCCGGTCAGTTTACAATCACTGCAAGCAGTTAAGCAGATTCTTAGATGGTTTGAATTGTGTTCTGAATTAAAGATCAACTTTCATAAAAGTTTGGTAGTTGGAATCAAACTTGATGAACCTCACACTACAGGTATAGATCATTCTGCTATTTGTAAACATGATTCAATATGGAAGGGTAAGATGCTTGACAGGAAGGATATGGATGAAAAAGAGTGTACTTACTTTATTACCTCTTAATTTTATGTTTATCTCCTTAATGTCTAAGGGTGTTTACAACATTTTGACGGCAATATCCAACGACAATCTCTTTCGGTTGGCGTTGCACAACAAATGAAGATTTGTAAGGTTCAATGGAAGGCTGTGATTAAAGAACAACAAGCTCTTTATTGAGTAAGAATAAGACACTGCTTTTTAAGTGGTTACGAGGGTTATGGAGTCCAATCAAGACAAATAGAAAAAGATTGTTTGTAAGAAGTAGTCTCGGTCATAAAACCAGGAGAGGAAACTGCTACATCGATGCGAAATTGTATCAGCTTTGTAGTTCGGAATGGAAAGAATGTTCCATTGTGGAATGACAAATGGGCAGGAAATACAATCATCAAGCTTTCTTTTCCGAGACAATTCATGCGTACATGCAAACCAGCAGCAACAGTATCAGATATGGAAATTTGGATAAATGGAGAATGAACATGAGATTTAAAGTGGAGAAGGCCTTTACATGTTTATGGATTTGAGCAGTGTGAAGCTCTATATCAATTACTATCATCGACTACTCTACTACAAGATAGAAATGACAGAAAGATATGGAATCTATATCCAGATGGTAACTTTATAGTCAAGACTTGTTCTTCTTTAATTGACATAATTGAATTCAATGGTGTATGTTATTTTCAAACAAGGGTCAGGATATCTACATATAGCTCCTCTAAAAATACAAACTTTTATTTGGTTGGCGATTCAAGGCAGAATCTGTACTAGAACTTTCTCAAGTCAAGAGGTTTGCTGCTAATAGAGCTTTCGGTATGTCCTTTATGTACAATTGATATGGAAACAACTAAGCATCTATTGATTCATTGCTCATTTTCATGGAGACAGTGAACTAAGTTCATGTCATGTTAGGGCGTTTCTTGGCGCGTTCCTAAATCACTAGATAACTTACCATTTGAATGGCCTCACATGATTTTTAGGAAATTTTAGAAAAAGACACGACAACTCCTATATCTTTTGGCATCGATTGAAGTGTTTGGCTAGCTAGAAATGACTTAGTTTTTAATGAGGTTCATCCTAATGCAAAAATATGCTTCTCCATAACTTTGTTTCGTCTTTCTTCTTGGTCACAGGCTAGTGAGAAGCATTTCACTTATACAGGTTATGGTTTAGAAGTAAGTTCAGCTTGTATTAGTGCATGGTCTAATAACATTAAGTCAAGATGATTAAGGAAATAGGGATCTCTGTATTTTGTTTCCCTTTGTATTGCTCCTTCT